CACAAGTGCTTGGAGGATTGAAAGTTTGTGCCTTTCCCTACCCCTGCAATGGGATCAGTTAATCAGCTAATGTGTACTTGGCCAAGTCTTATCAGGTGGGCATGACCCTGTGAGCTGGTCTGTTTTGTGCTGGTGAGACTTGCTCAGTAGAAGTGCTGGCCCTCCTTCAAGAACCCATAGCAAAAACTTCCCTTTCGATTAAGAGCAGCAGCGTTGCAAGCAGATGCTGAGGTTTTTAGCAAGCTAGTCAAAAGCCGTGTGAATTGGATTGCTTTAACTGAGTCTGTTGTTCATACAATTGCATGCTGCTGCCTATGCAGTTTCTCTCCTTAGTGTAAAGCTTTCTGGAGTGACTGTTGGTTAGATCCTGCTTGTGGCATCTTCCTTTCCTTCCATATCACCTGAAATCAGTCAGTCTCAAAAGATGGGCAGTTTGAGAGATCTACCCCACTTCTCCTGGCCTACTTGAGAGATCAGTGCTTGAAATTCCCTTTGCCAACCTGGTGCTACCTTCCAGCTGTGTTGGATTGCAACCCCCCATTAGCTCCAGCCAGCACAATGGGCTGATGGGAGTTGTAGTTCAGCAACTTCTGGAGGGCTCCATAGGCTTCCCAAGCCATGTTTCTAGGAAGGTGCATCTTTTGGGACCTGAGCAAGGAATATGAGCAGCAAAACAGCTCAGCTGTACTTGATGGCAAAGGGTGGTTTAGAACATGTAGTACTGCATAATACGGCCTAGATACTGTTGCACCATGAACATTTCTATTGGTTATCAAACAACCTGCCTAGAAGAGGTGCCCAGAACTCTCCTGTAAGGCCCAAGGGCTTTTGCTTGTACCTGGGGCTTACTTTTGCCTTGCTCGGGGGTGCATATTTTTAAATTGCCACAGTGACTCAGCAGATGCAACATCCGGTGAATGGCTGAGCCACAACTAGGTTGTGTGGCAGGTTGATGAGGAAGAGAAAGGTTTGCGCTGTCACTGATCTGATGCTATCCCATCCCAAATCCTTCTGCAGGCCGCAGCAGGAAGCCCAGAAGATATTCAAGGCAAACCACCCCATGGATTCCGAAGTCACCAAGGCCAAGGTGAGCACACTCACATGTGTTTGCGTTCACCGTGGGAAGCGTGGAAAATAAAGGTTTGGGCAAATAAACATGAAACGCAAATGTTCTTTGGAATAGTGACAGAGATAAATAGGCATGGAGATCAGGGTCAGTAGACGGGGTATAAAATATCCAGGCTTTTCCATTCCTTGGTATCCAACAAAGAGTGCTTTTGCACCTGTGTTGCCGGGACTGAAATCTGGCAGGTGGATGTAGAGCTAGAGACCACATGAGCTGTACTGCTGGCTAGGATGCCAGCATCTTCCTACCCCGTTTTGTTCCCCCGCCTGGTACATCTTTCCCCTCGACTGCCTTCCCCACGGCAGCCAAGCAGAGGAGCCCAACTAAGCTCCATTCCCTTCCTTCCACAGCTGCTAGGTTTCGGCAGCGCGCTCTTGGAGAAGGTGGATCCAAACCCCGATAACTACGTAGGAGCTGGGATCATCCAGACGAAGGCGCTGCAGGTGGGATGCTTGCTGCGGCTGGAGCCCAACGCCCAGGCACAGGTGAGGAGGCAAGAGCTGCGGGATGCTTGAGCTCTGGGAGCAGAGTGGAAAGGAAGATGCTGCTGTGGGAGAGAATTGGCAGTTGGGACACCTGGGTTGTCCAAAGAGGGAAGGAGGGAGTTGGGAGAAGCTGAAAGCTCTGCTGCCCCAAGAGTGCTTTCTGAAGCCAGACTTAAAGGCTGAATTGACTCTACGTTTCCCTGCAGATGTACCGGCTGACCCTGCGCACCAGCAAGGAGTCCGTTTCGAAGCACCTTTGCGAGCTGCTCTCTCAGCAGTTCTGAGACATTGGCCGCACCAGAGGAGGCGGGGAGGGCGGGCTGCACCGGGGAGAGGGGAGGCTGTTCCTGCACACTTGGCTGCCTACACCTGCCCCCTCCCACCTCCCTCCAAACCAGGGGCCTCCGGAAAGACTGTACTGCTCCCTTGCCTGTTGTTGTGATGACCTCTGTGTTCTCATTGCCTAGCCCGGGCCAGCACCAAGGAATGAAAAGCAAGGTGGGCGGGGTGGGGAGCAGAAATGGGGTCCCTGGCGTGGACAAAGTAGAATTGGGACGGTGGGGAGGGGGGGGATGATTTGCGTGGGGGTAGGGCATCCTTCTGGGAGTCATCTTCCCCTTGCCCGGAGGGTGGCCCCCTGGAAGAAAGCCAAGACCTCTCCCATCCATCCCATCTGCCTGTCCCTCCCAACTCGGGGTGAGGCTGAGATTGGTGGTCTTAATCCCCACCCCTACCCCCACGATATCGGCCGGCATTTTTGGGTTTTGTTTACAATCCTCGCCCCCTTCTCCCCCCCCAGACAAGGCCTTTCTGTGGGGGAGGTTAACTCCCCCCGCTTCCCCCTGAGCTGGCTGTGGGGGGTTGGGGGAGAGGAATGGGGTGCGTGTGGGTTTTTTGTGGGGAGGGAACTGCTCGTAGGGGGGTTGTTTTTGTGTTTTCTTTGCCTTGTGTATTTCCCCGGGGTGGGGTGGGCGTGGGCGTTCTCCCTTTCCTTTGTCATGGACCATTCCAGTGTTACAGTTGCGTGTGTTTTTGTGGGGAAGTAACCATAAGTCGAGAGCCTCCCCCCCTTCCCTCGCCTCCTAGAAGGAAAAACTGCACGAAGGTGGGGAGGGCTGTGAGGAAGAGATGCCTAATCGACTCCTCTCCCGACTCGCCTCAACCCCACCCTTCCCTCCTGGAGACTCTGGAATGCTGCCCTCTGTGCATTTTGGAAAAAGCGGGGAGGGAAGGTTCAGTTCATGCTCTTCTGGGGGTGTCCCAGCTTCCATGCCGGCCCGGGCTCCATGTTACTCTGCTGTGTAGGTGTTATCTAGCGCATCTTAGTTTTATCTGGGTTTTGAATGCCTGTATCTATCTCCATGTGACTCTTAATAAAGCCGTGAGGGCGGGGGAGAGCCAGGATCAAGCCAGGCTGGGTCACCCCCACACCGCTGACTGACTCGTTGTGTGCTGCTTTTTAATATGTGGATAAATGGCAGGGCGGGAGGGTGTCCCCAACCCGCTGGAGCAGAGGTAGCCATGACTGTGCGAGACAGAATCTGGCATAACTTCCATGCGGGCTTCTAGCTGTGGTGACGCGAGGGCTGCTTTGTCTTCACAGCTGAAACCCACTATGTTTCCGGTGGGGGTGGTTTGCCCCGACACCCGCAGAAGAGGGGGTTCAGCTGTATGGAATTGGTAGGCCGAGAAGCGGTCGAAACACTTTGCGGCCGAAGTGCAACAATTCCGTTACGTCAATGGCACAAAGACACAAAGAGTGTGCTTTTTGCTGGGGCTAGAATGCAGGGATGCTTTCTAGGGTACCCCAGCCGTGGGACTGAAGGCAAGACTTTTTAAAAAGAGGGAGGAGGCTCACTTCTTCCTCAGAAGCACAATGCATTTACCTTTGTAATCTGTCACCTTCCTGCAAAGCCTAAAAGCAGTGGGGAATGGAGGGGGCTAATTAAAGATTAGGAGACCATGTTCGCTTCCCTAAGATATACCATTTCTGGTGGGTGTTGAAATCTGTAACAAGCCCCTCCCTTAATTCTGTGGTGTGAATAAATTATGCAGATCACCTGCATAAATCTATCTGATGTGCAAGCCTCTTATTTTGGTTACCAATTTAGAGTCTTCGTGGGACTAGGGAAAATGCTAGAGTTGGAGGAAAGACATTGCAAACAAAGTGAAGCGCCTCATCATTTGTCCAAGGGTGTTTTAGAGGGATTGGCCATCAAAGCTCTGCAAGCCAAGACTAGAAACCTGCATTTAAAATATTGGAATAGATTAAAAATAAATAAATCCTGAGCAAAATACTAATTTAATTATGCTTCTACTGAATTAAAAATGCATACAAACCATCTGGCTCGGAGAAAGAGCTTTTCCCCAGCAAGCATCCTTGAAATTCAACTCCTCAGAATTTCAGCCACCATTTTGTTACCCACAACTGAATTCCAAGAAATTACAGCTGAAAGGCAGCAATTTTATAGGCCATATAAGTGACAAATGCAGATCAGTGGATGTCAACTAAACAGCTCTGTTCCCAAGATACATTTTTCCACTAGAGCTGTCTGTCTATCTTAACTACCTACTTACCAAAGTAACACAAATTTGTGTGGCTCAATTCATAGATTTTCAGAGTGTCTTCTTAATGACTTAAGAAAAAACAAGGAGCCTAGTCTTCATACAAACCCAAATTATATTGCAAGGTGGCTCATTAACAGCCTGATCAATGAAGCCCTGCCTAGAATTTAGTATTTATGTATTACTTTAGAGGCAAATGTTGTTTGATTCCAATTCCTGCCATCCCTGATTATTTGCCTGGAGCTGATGTGCAAGATTTGGAGAAGCACAGATTAGCCTGCCCTGCTTTTACAGTGTTCAAAGTGCCTCATAGCCATCACTTCACTAATACGCACAGTAGACTTGTAATAGAGGTCAAGCAGTTATGGTGATTGAGGCTAAGGAATCAGTACTTGCTTAATGACAGGCAAGATTTGGGGATTTCCAGTTCAGCCATGGCCATCAGCACATCAACTCAGGGAGAAAGAGAGAGAGAGAGAGAGAGAGAGAGAGAGAGAGAATCAGAAGATGCTGCACTGCTGCAGAAGGAAAGAGCTATTCCTACCGGAAAGGGTGAAATCAAGAAGGAAAAGTATGGGAAATAAATAGAAGCAAAGAAATTACAGCCGCAGCAAAGGCACAGTGCTATAAATACCACACTGAAAGCTGGCAACACCAATTTCAGTCATTATCAAACATCCCATGGTGCTGTAATACTCAGCATGCGACAGACTAGACACGGTGTCTGTCCTGAGGTGTACTTAATTGGATAGAAAGCACCATTTCAGCACCCTACCTCTGCCACAGGTTAAGTTCAAAAAAATCAATCTCAACTCTCCCCAGAATCAGGTACAAACAAATTTTATGGATGCAGCATTTGAACTGATATGCCTTCCAGCAGAGACTGGTTTATTAGGGCACTGCCCCACCTGTCTGCCTTCTTACGCCAACCATTCCAGGGTGAAGTATTGGCTACCAGCTTCCTCCTCAGTTTCACTGTTGCCCTTGTGGAACTCAGGGAGGAGAATGGGAGACACAACTAGAATTTACCTGGCTGCCCCTGATATTGGTCTTCCTGCCCGCCCTGCCAGCCACACTGATGCCTTAATACAAACATGTCTAGACAATGGTGGCTTTCCATTTTTTCCTCCCAAGAGTGAGGAAAAGATAATGCAAGACCTAAACTGGTACTCATCGCCATTGCTAACCCAGCAGCCTCTCACTTCCATAAAGAGCAGGGAGTGAGTGGATTAACTCTTCTCTGCATAATCTCTCCTGCCCCCCCCCAATCCAGGCTGGTCCAATGCAGGGTAATCACAGCTTGCATGGGAGGTCCAAGGGCTCTGTCTCAGTGCCCACATCTCATCTTGGGAGTCCAGTAGGCAACATCCACTCAGAAGGCCGAGTCCTCAGCTGTGAGGGTCTGGAGGGTGCTGGTTGCCAGAGACCGCAGAGCAAAGGTAGGCACATCTGGCTTCACAATCAGGAACAGCTGGTGCCGCTTCCCATGGATGGCATAGGCCTTGTATGTAGAGTAGACCAGGTAACAGTGCTGAGGACAGTGGGAGAAACCAGCCTGGAACTCCTCCTGCAGAGGGACTGAGGAAAGGACAACAAATATCAAGCTCCACAGGCTATAACAGAGGCAGAATAATATGCAGAATAATATTTTTTAATAATAATTTATTATTTATACCCCACCCATCTGGCTGGGTTTCCCCAGCCACTCTGGGCGTTTCCCAACAGAATATTAAAAACACGACAAAACACCAAACATTAAAAACTTCCCTAAACAGGGCTGCCTTCAGTTGTCTTCTGAAAATAAGTTAGCTGTTTATTTCCTTGACATCTGACAGGAGGACGTTCTACAGGGCGGGCACCACTACCGAGAAAGCCCTCTGCCTGGTTCCCCATAACCCCACTTCTCGCAGTGAGGGAACCACCAGAAGGCCCTCAGTGCTGGACCACAGTGTCCGGGCTGAACAATGGGGGTGGAGACGCTCCTTCAGGTATACTGGGCCAAGGCCATTTAAGGCTTTAAAGGTCAGCACCAACACTTTGAATTGTGCCCGGAACGTACTGGGAGCCAATGTAGGTCTTTGAGGACTGGTGTTCTATGGTCTCGGCGGCCACTCCCAGTCACCAGTCTAGCTGCCACATTCTGGATTAGTTGTAGCTTCCTGGTCACCTTCAAACATAGCCCCACGGAGAGCACGTTGCAGTAGTCCAAGCAGGAAATAACTAGAGCATGCACCTCTTTGGCAAGACAGTCTGTGGGCAGGTAGGGTCTCAGCCTGCATACCAGATGGAGCTGGTAGACAGCTGCCCTGGACACAGAATTGACCTGCACCTTCATGGACAGCTGTGAGTCCAAAATGACACCTAGGCTGTGCATCTGCCACCAGGGAATGTCGGCTTTGGTTACGGGAAAAAAAGGAGGGGAACTAACTTTAAGCCTTTGAAGCTACAGTAAAAAAAAAAAAAATACTTGGAAAAGGCCCCTATGGCCTCGCTCAGTCACCAGGAAGTTCCACCTGTCACAAGGACCTGAATTTTGCTTAATAATAAAATGTTCCAACATGCAAATACTTGCCACAACTTGAGATGTCACAGAAGAACTTTTTGATTCACAGGACAAAAGGGATAAAGAATCAAGAACTCACCTGCACTCTCTTCAAACTTCTCACAGGGGAAGTACAAGGAGACAGTGAGGGAATAGAAGGAGCGAAGGGCAGAGAGGCGATTTTTCAGGGGCATCTCAGATCCTGTAAAAGTGGGGAAAGATACATATTTAAATGCTCTGTTGAGAGAGAAAGGGCTGCGCTCTCTCTGGCCTTCTCCAGCACAACGCAGCTTGCGCCATACCTTCAACTGAAGTGCCCTGAGGCTGCACGGTGAAGAGGCTTTTCCTCTGATCTTGGTTGATCAGCAACAGCCTGCAGGAGATGAGATTGTGAACAACAGTTGGGTTATAATGGGGCCAGGGGAAACGCTGGCAAGGCTGGCAGTATGATTTTCAAAAGGATGGAACAAACATGAAGCCAGCCCCTACAGGGGTTCAGATCCTCAAAAGCGCTCACTTCTCCCAGAAGACTCACCCCAGGATCCCAGGGGCAAGAGCGATGCCAGGAGGCAGGCACCGAGGAGGGGCTCTGGCACTTGCCTTCAGAAGATCCAGCAGCGGCTGCCAAAATCGCTTCACTAACTATAGGAAGAAAGAGAAAGGGCTTGGTAGCGCCACTCGGTTCCAGTTCTCTGGAGGGACAGAGCATGCACTAAACAAGGAAAATCCCAAAGCCTACTTTCTTCCTATATTATATTATAATATTATATTATTATTATTATTATTAATTTATTTATACCCCACCCTCCCCAGCCAAAACCAGGCTCAGAGCAGCTAACATCAAATATATGACACATTACCATAAAATCAAGCAATCAATTAAAAAAACATCCTACATCCTAAAATCAACTTAGAATTAAAGTGAAATCCAATCAGATGGCAGCCTGCAAAATAGGGATGAGGGCATTAAATGCTCATCAGGCCTAACTGTATATACTGATCTTATATGAGCCTGTGAGAAAGGTTGGGGGGCTGCTTTCATGCAATTTCTTATAAGGAGGGGGGGGAGTCAGACTGGACCCCAGTCAAAGGTCTGGCGGAATAGCTCTGTCTTGCAGGCCCTGCGGAAAGATGTTAAATCCCACAGGGTCCTGGTCTCGTGTGACAGAGCATTCCACCAGGCCGGGGCCACAGCCGAAAAGGCCTTGACCCTGGTCAATTTCCTTGAGGTCCGGGACCTCCAAGATGTTGTTATTTGGGGATCGTAAGGTCCTCCATGGGGCATACCAGGAGATGCTGCCCCATGCAGACCAGCAGAAGTGAGAGGATGGCAACCAATGGGTGGGTCAGCCCTTTGAAGGGGAAGGGCAAAAAACTGAATTTCTCGTTCTTGCCGAAAGGGAATGGCCAGGAAACAGACAGCACAGTCCGTAGAGCTATATGGCACTCTTAATCTCAGGGTTGTGGGTTCGAGCCTCATGTTGGGCAAAAGACCCCTGCACTGCAGGGGGTTGGACTAGATGACCCTCGTGGACCCGCCCAACTCTACCATACTTTGATCCCATGAGTCCAAGTTGCTTCACTTCCAAGGTCTGTCTCTCACCTCATCAGCCAAGAACTGTAAGGAGGGCTTAGGCCCACACAGCAGCAGCACCTCCAAACCAGGCACGAGCTGCAGGGTCAAGAAGCGGTGGGGGACCTGTTGGGAGTGAGGGACACGGAGAATCAGAAAGCTACACTCCTCTACTGGCCCCTCCCTGAATCGCCAGCCAGCTCACCGTGGGGCTTCCATGAGGAAGGTAAACGGGCAGATCGCGGGAGGTGTGAGGGGGCAACGAGCGCACCAGCCACACCAGCAGCATGGCCTCCGAGGCTGCCAGCTGCCACCACTGCTCTGTTGCACACAGCACCTGACCGCCCACAAGCAGGCTGCCAAACCGCGACTCTGCTGCAGAGGCAAAGACTTCCAGGCACTCCTGAATCGGGAAAGAGCAAAGCAAGACAGAGAATGGAAGAACAGCCACAACGGATTAGACCAAAGTTCCATCTGCTCTGATTCAGCATCCTGTTCTCATTAAGTGCACAACAGCACACTTCCCATGAGCGATTCCCAGTAAATGTTATTGAGAGACATACAGCCTCTGATATCTACAACTAATCCAGAATGTGGCAGCTAGACTGGTGACTGGGAGTGGCTTCCAAGACCATCTAACACCAGTCCTGAAAGACCTACATTGGCTCCCAGTACACTTCCAAGCACAATTCAAAGTGCTGGTGCTGACATTTAAAGCCCTAAACGGCCTCAGCCCAGTATAGCTGAAGGAGCAGCTCCACCCCCAACGTTCAGCCCAAGAACAAGCCAGTCTCACCTGCAGTATTGCCCTGGAGGGCACCATTGTACATTCCACACACTGGGTCAGGTCAGCACTGCATTTGCCGGGCTCCAGGAAACTGTCAATCAATTTGTAACATGCCTAAATTGGGGGAGGAGGAGGGAGATTAAATATTTAAGCTACCAGGGATAAAAACTGACTTCCAAACACATGGAATAGGTAATGAAATCCATTTTTAAAATATTTGAGTGATAAATGTGTAATGTGTGAAAGAAAAAGAAATCTGCAGGTAAGAATTCAGGCTTTGCCTAGTTTTTCACTAGGTCCACCTATTAGAGGCAGGGCAAGACAGATTACCGTATTTTTCGCCCTATAGGGCACACCAGCCCATAGGGCGCACCTAGTTTTTTGGAGGGGAAATAAAGAAGAAAAAAATTTATTTCCCCCCAGGCGCTGAGCTGGGGCGGGGGAAGCCCGAGCTTCCCCCGACCCCAGCCCCCAGAACAGGATGCTATCCGCAAGCCTGGGGAGCCCAGTGGGAACTCCCGCGGGCTCCCCAGGATTGCGGATATCTGTCTGAAGCCCGGGGCACGCTGCTCAGCTGCGCTCCCTGGGTTTCGGGCTGCAGGCTGCTATCCGCAAGCCTTGGGAGCCCGGCGGGAACTCCTGCCGGGCTCCCAAGGCTTGCGGATAGCTTCCTGAAGCCTGGAGAGCGAGAGGGTTCGGTGCACACAAATGCCTCTCGCTCTCCAGGCTTCAGCGAAAGCCTGCATTCGCCCCATAGGATGCACACACATTTCCCCTTCATTTTTGGAGGGGGAAAAGTGCGTCCTATAGGGCGAAATAGTGATGTATGGAAGTGAGAGCTGGACCATAAAGAAGGCTGATCGCCGAAGAATTGATGCTTTTGAATTATGGTGCTGGAGGAGACTCTTGAGAGTCCCATGGACTGCAAGAAGATCAAACACATCCATTCTGAAGGAAATCAGCCCTGAGTGCTCACTGGAAGGACAGATCCTGAAGCTGAGGCTCCAATACTTTGGCCACCTCATGAGAAGAGAAGATTCCCTGGCAAAGACCCTGATGTTGGGAAAGATGGAGGGCACAAGGAGAAGGGGACGACAGAGGATGAGATGGTTGGACAGTGTTCTCGAAGCTACAAACACGAGTCTGACCAAACTGCGGGAGGCAGTGGAAGACAGGAGTGCCTGGCGTGCTCTGGTCCATGGGGTCACGAAGAGTCGGACACGACTTGACTAAACAACAACAACATAGGGCGAAAAATACGGTAGGTACAAGGGAAGAAGCAGGGTGCCTTTGAGCATATGCTAAACCCAGGAATCTGCAACCAGAACAAGAACCAAGTTGTTCCATGAAAAAATCCACTACTGGTTCCACCCATTCTGAAGTATTTTTCATCAACATCATTCGGAGGGAAGAGCTTTTTAGTTGTTACAATTGATACAGCAACCTCCAAGTCGCTAGCCGTCCTCAGGTCAGGCATTACCTTCAGGTCTTTTTTGAGACGTTCAATGTTGCGTGCATTCACCAGCTCCTCCAAGCCCAACACCAGCACCTGTAGTAAAACACACAATTGCCTCCTAAAGATCCTCTGGTTATCCCTTCTGCCAAAGAGGGTATGTACCACCTTGCCACAGAGAAGCACAGCACCCAGTTCCTGCATAAGCCAAGCAGGTTTCTAGACACAGCTTGGTATGCATGTGCTCAAGTGGATCACAAGATGTGGCAACAGAACACCCGTGTATTTTAGGAGCCAAAACTCTTGACTTCTCTGGCCTCAAATGTATACGTTATGCCTTCAGATTAGCTTATCTAGAAATAACCCCCTGCAAGTCTCCTCTCCACACCTAAGGGTGCCCACCCTCCAGGTTCCAAATTTGCATTCTCTGCCATTCTTTCTACAAATGCGAAAGGGTGGTTAAGGTGTGCTATGGTTAACTAATGCACAATTAGCAATCAAACTGCACAAAAGGCTTAGCAGGTAGGACAGGTAAGCAGCTGGGAAATGAGAGTTCTTGGGAAGATTTTAGGGGAGACAAACTTTCCTTTTCCATATCTTACTGAAATAGACCATTTCCTATTAGACACCAGCCTGGGCTTGTGAGTTTTTTTGCTATTCCGCATCAGCCTTCATCAACCTGGTGCCCTTCAGATGTTTTGTACTACAATCAGCCCCGGCCACCACAAGGAGCTGTAGTCTAAAATATCTGGAGGAAGCCAGTTTGCAGAAGTTTTCTCTAAATCAGCAACAGTAGCTCTAGGCACACATCACAACTAAGATATATTGGCTGAAGAGGATCAGTACGCTATGAAGTTTATATAACTATTTAACAAACACACACAAACACTAGAAAGCACAGTTGCTTAAAACTGAATGCCACTCAACTGAGACAGCTGCTCCCTTTGGAATTATGTACCATTCCAATGCACTGGCTCGCCTCCCACTTTCCTGTTACAGACTAAGGCCGAAATGACATTCCACCACCTTTGACTGCTCACCATGGCACTGAAGACATTTTCAAGGAGTCTTCCAAGGCTGAAGTCACTGGCACCTTCATCTGAGGACAGGACAATGAGGGTGATGCTGGGAACACCAAACACAAAAATGTTAAGGATATAAATATAGACAGGAAATCTACAGGAACTCTTCACCTTAAATGCCACCATGTTCAACAGAGATGCAGCCTACAAACCAGCTGTCTACAACCATGATAGCTAGCAACTTGATTTGGTTCACCATCACAAAAGAAGATGTGAAAAACTTGAGTGAACCCTATACAGTGGTACCTTGGGTTAAGTACTTAATTCGTTCCGGAGGTCCATTCTTAACCTGAAACTGTTCTTAACCTGAAGCACTACTTTAGCTAATGGGGCCTCCTGCTGCCGCCACGCTGCTGGAGCACGATTTCTGTTCTCATCCTGAAACAAAGTTCTTAACCTAAAGCACTATTTCTGGGTTAGTTGAGTCTGTAACCTGAAGTGTATGTAACCTGAAGTGTATGTAACCTGAGGTACCACTGTAAAGCAATTGTATTTATGTGGAGGAGTTTGGATTGGATATCCCACTTTATCACTACCCGAAGGAGTCTCAAAGCGGCTAACATTCTCCTTTCCCTTCCTCCCCCACAACAAACACTCTGTGAGGTGAGTGGGGCTGAGAGACTTCAGAGAAGTGTGACTGGCCCAAGGGCACTCAGCAGCTGCATGTGGAGGAGCGGAGACGCGAACCTGGCTCCCCAGATTGCGAGTCTATCGCTCTTAACCACTACACCACACTGGCTCTCTTATGTGGTAGCCTGCTAGCCATGGATGGCAAGGCACTGTGTGCAGGAAAGTGAAAAGGCTGCTAGAGGAAGGAGGACAAGCATAGTAACGCAGCCCAATTTCCTTCCTCTGACAGCCACAACTGGCTAGTAAAAAATTATGTAAGTTAGCAACTGTTGCCCCTTATTTACTAGGTATCTGCTGCTACATTTTAAAAAAATGATCATTAGGGCTGAAAAGCCTAATGAAAAGAAGCTTGTGTGTGTGTGCTTCTGTTCAGCTCTTTAGCATTTTTGTGTTACATTTTAGAACAGAGTTTTGCAAACATGAAAGCAAGAATGAAATACAGTTATTTGGGTTTGAAGAAGGCCCCCTTGGATTGAATAAAATATATAAGAAGGCTGCACAGATCTTATGAGACATTACAAATGAGAGGGATTTGTCCCTCTGCCCCCACTGCTCCTGCTAGATTGAAATTCCAGCCCTCTGCTGGAAGCAAAATCCACCCCTCTTACCGCAACAAACCCTGACGAAGGCATGGAACCTCACCTGTTATGAAACACTTTCCACACCACTCGAGTATTCTCTGTACAGGCAGCTGTCAGTAGGACATCCAGGTTGGAGCCAAACATATGAACCCCATTCAGGGAGCCAATCACAGAGAATGGAAGCTGTGGGATAAAGGTAAGCTTTAGTATTCTATATATTAACATGCAAAGCTGTTATATACTGAGTCAGACTCCTAATTTTCCCCATTCAGACTGACAGTAGCAATTCAAAGTCAGTGTGGAGGCTTATTTTTTTGCCCTGCTAACGGAAGAGGTTTTAAATCAGCTTTTGCTAACCTGGTGCCCTGCAGCTGTTTTGGACTCCAACTTCTGTTACCCCCACCAGCCAGTGGTAGCCAGGGCTGATGGGAATTGTAGTCCAAGGCAGCTGCAGGGCTGTAGTTTGGTGAAAGCTGCTTTAACTTTATCGTGTTTTTAATCTGTTATGTAATCTTTGTATTTGAATTGCTCCTCTCTGATTTTAAGTTGCTTTGATACTTTTTTTGTAGAAGGCAATGAGAAAAAAATCCCATATCAGATCATTCAGTATCGACTGACTGATAATGACCCCTGCAAGATATCAGGCAGGGAGAGACAGAGAGGTCTTTCCCAGGCCAGCCAACTGAAATTAGCTGCAGATTGTCAAGGGTTGTAGCAGGAACCACCTTCAAAGCATGTTGCTATACTGCTGAAAAATGGATCTTCCGTACAAACCTATGAAGTCGCTATGTCATACCACTGGGCCACATACCCCAAGGCTCTCTACTTTGACTGACAGCATCTTTTCAGGCATCGCTCTTTCCCAAAGGTTATTCCATACATAAAGTATATGCTGTACCCACAAAGAATTGTAGAACTGTAGAGTGGGAAGGGACTATGAGGGTCAGCTGGTTCAACACCTTGCAATGCAGGAATCTTTCGCCCCAAAGGGGTCTTGAACCCATGACTTTGAAATTAAGAGTTTCCTGCTCTACTGACTGAGCTCTCTTTGATGAACTGCCCTGAGATCTTGCGATGAAGGGCGGTATATAAATCTAATACAGTGGTACCTCGGGTTAAGTACTTTATTCATTCCGGAGGTCCTTTCTTAACCTGAAACTGTTCTTAACCTGAAGCACCACTTTAGCTAATGGGGCCTTCTGCTGCCGCCGCGCCGCCGGAGCACGATTTCTGTTCTCATCCTGAAGCAAAGTTCTTAACCTGAAGCACTATTTCTGGGTTAGCGGAGTCTGTAACGTGAAGCGTATGTAACCTGTAAATAAAAACAAGGGCGCAGCGGGGTGGGAGCAGAGGCCGCAACCCCCCACCTGCTGCTTGGAAGAGCCACCTCGGCTCCTGCAATACAAAGGCACTCCGCTGCTGGCCGTGAGACACAGCAAAGTCACGGAACCTCCTGCTTCGTCCCACATCTTGGGGGCTCCTCCGCTCGCTCTTCTCCGTCAGCGGCTCTGCGCAAAGGAAGAAACACCCCTCCCCCCCGATCACCGCCGACGCCCCGTCAAGTCTCCCCGCCGCTCTTTCCGCTCCTCCAGCACCACCACATCAGCCGCCATCTTGGGGAGCCCGCTGCACGCTGGGGCGCGAGCGACGCCGTCGCCGTGGCAACAGGCGCCTCTCAGTGATTGGCTCGTTCGCTCCCCTTCCCTACCCACGCCACGCCCCCTCTCCATTTCCATTCGGTCCTCCTGGGGCACGGGGGCGGGAGGCGGTGCTGTGAATCCAGAGGGGAGGGGAGGGCGCCTCCGCGTTGCGTCCTCGGTGCGCGCCGGGGAGCGGACCAGAAGGAAAGCGCTTCCGGTACGGTTCAGAGGGAGAGCGAGGAAGAGAAGCCGGATGTCTGCGTTGGGTATGGGAATTGGAAGGGGAGTGGGGCTGGAGGTGGGGGGCCGTTGCTTAGGACAGGTGGGTTTTTTTGGGGGGGGGGTCCGAGGAGAGCACAGAGGCTGAAGCTACAATTCCCCTCCCTGCTTTTCTTAGTAGGCGCACCTCCCCCCCTCCATCGTCCCTTCCTCGCCCCCAAACTCTCCTCTTCTCCAGCAAAGCCAAAATGGTCCTTTCTAATTTATTTAGGAGACCACTGTAAGCAGGTGAAAACATTAGCAGGATTTTCATAACACTTGTAAAGTAGCAATTATCATAGACAATATGGAGAGATAAAAAACCCACATGGATTATGGAATCATATGCAGTTGGAAAGGTTGACAAAAGGACCCATGGAGGAGATGGTGGGAAGCCTGGAGATTCAGGAAAATCTCTAAATATGGATGTGTATTTGGTATTGTTACAGCTTTATATTTGTAAAATAAAATAAAAATTATTTCCATATATATATATATATATATATATTTGCTTTCGTAGATATTTGCTTTCGTAGATATGTATATATGTTGCACGTTGCGGAGAAAGTGTGTGTGTGGGGGGTGTACTCCTCCCTCCCACCCCAGAACTCAAGGCCAAGCAGTGAAACTTTTGGGCTGCAGATTCACGGCCGGCGGGCGAGAAGACTTTGTTTTGCCCAGTGCAGTGCTATTACGTTTAAGGAACTCACTGAGACAAGATGGAAGAGGGGGAAAGGTTATGCTAGTGCAGTTTTATTTAAACAGAAATAGATGGCTTCATGTGGTTTTTTAAAAGGCGTGAGAAAGGGTACTGTCCACTGGTGCTAAGCATGACAGCTAAGTGGCTGCTGCTGCCCCACCCCCTAAACGAAGGCTGTTTCTGAAAACCGGTTTGGGGTGGGGTTGTTATTAGGTTTCTCATCTGCCTAGCGCTGTGAGGTTACAGCAGTATAAAAAGGCAATGCTGAAATCAGTTTAAAAGCAAGCTAGAAGAATAGGGTGGGTCCTAAAATATATATAGTTATGGTGTCAGATGCTTGTAGGCTCATGGGAAGTATCCAGCCAGTCAGTGTGGGAAGTGGAATGTTGGACTAGAATCCCTTTCTCACCACATGGCAAGCTCCTTTGTTACTGCTGAGCTGTCACTTTCCCTCTCTGTAATTGTCTTCTCTCTCCACCACTTGATTTGGATTACAGCCCAGGAATGTGGGTGGCGCTGTGGGTTAAACCACAGAGCCTAGGACTTGCCAATCAGAAGGTCGGCGGTTCGAATCCCCGCAACGGGGTGAGCTCCCGTTGCTCGGTCCCTGCTCCTGCCAACCTAGTTCGAAAGCACGTCAAAGTGCAAGTAGATAAATAGGTACCGCTCCGGCGGGATGGTAAATGGCGTTTCCGTGTGCTACTCTGGTTCACCAGAAGTGGCTTAGTCATGCTGGCCACATGACCCGGAAGCTGTACGCCGGCTCCCTTGGCCAGTAAAGCGAGATGAGCGCCACAACCCCAGAGTCGGGCATGACTGGACCTAATGGTCAGGGGTCCCTTTACCTTTGCCTTCACCACCTTATTTGGATTACAGCCCAGGAAAGGGGGAAAGGCGATGAAGGGTTGGGGTTAAGGAGAGGCCCTTAGGTTGCATCTGACACATGTGCTGGAATTTCCCCACCCTTGGACTAGAATTTTGCTGTGATTGAGCAGGTCTTTTGCATCTACTACCCACCTGCCTGACCCTACCTTACCTTCAGATCCACTTCCATTTGACTTGCTTCTCTCTCTTTTACCCATTTCTCATTTCCCTCCTCCTCTTCTGCCCTGCTTATTTAATGAAAAAACAGTGACCCCTTAAAGAGACCACAAGGTTCTGTGTTTTATACAGCATGTGTGCCTTTGCTATGGAATAAATGTTAAATAGCCGTTGATTTCAACCTTGCCTCTGTTATTAATGTTTTTGCCACATTACCTCACCACGGGTAGCTGGAGGAGATGGTGGTGCCAACCCTGGACATGCCTGCACAGCCCATGGGGATGGTTGCTGATGTGGTTTTCGTCATCGAGGGCACTGCCAATCTCGGGCCCTACTTCGAGTCCTTGCGCAAGCATTACCTTCTTCCTGCCATTGAGTGAGTGTTTTGCATGGCCCCAGGATGCAACTGCAGTAGTGGCTTTGTTGCAAGAAAGGAGAGGCTCTTGGGAGACCCTCATAGGGAAGGAAATGTTGGGGGTATGCTCCTTTCACGGGAAGGACTGCAATCGCTCACTTTGCATCCTATTTGGAAATGAACTTCACTGAAATCGATGAGATTTGATGCTTAAGTAAGAGGCATTGGAACAAGGGAGGGCAGGATTAAAATATAGTCCAAACAGGGTTTTTCGTCAGCTGAAGAAACAACTGTAAGTAGAAAGATTTGTTAACTTTCCTGATCCCAAATGACATAATTTTGGGGCATGGAGAGGAATCTAAATTAAAAGGAAAAACACATTTGCAGAATTAAACTATCATAAATAATTTTATTTATGTTTGCCCCAGTAACCAGGCAAGTAGAGCATGGCAAGTGACTAAATTGGGAATAGTGATAATAGAAAAAATAATCCTGTGATTTCACATCCTCAAGTGCATTCCAGTTTCTCTAATGTGAGCCAACCCTTCTGCATTTTTGTCAAATCTTCTCTTTTATTGCCAGGTACTTTAACGGTGGTCCCCCCGCTGAAACAGACTTTGGTGGAGACGTAAGTGTGTGGATGCACTTTTGAATTTGTTAATGAATTCAAGGAATTTTGGGGGCTCTGAAGATCACCTTTCTTTGAGTATACCTAGTTGCTTACTTGCTTACCTGGTTGCTTGCTTGCTTGCTTATTTACTTAAAGCATTTTTACCCTACTCTTCAACTGAAAAGATTAAATGATAGTTCCAACCCTAAAGCTCACAAACACACAATGTCAAAGGAAAAGGGATATTGGGGGGAGGGGAGGAGCAAGTAATTAAGTCATTAAGCTGTGCATATCAAAGGGTAAGTAGATAGCACATGAACACAGCAGTGATTTCCAAACCTGTGGAGACTCATCCAAATGCAGCCAGTGAGCTGCCTGAGTTCTGCCAGTGAGCTGGTATTAGTTTAGTTTTTCCTGTTTTCAAAAATATATATATTTGGGGGTTAAAATTAAAAATGTGCGACGTAACTAATGACAATTTCTTCTATACAAACAACCACACGAATTTGTGCACACACCTCAATGGCATAGGCACACACTTCCGCAACTTTGTAAAAGTTAATTTTCAAATGCCAGAATTCTTGCATGTCCAAAGTAGATTCTTACAGCCTGTGTGTTGATCCACATTCAGTCATCAGCCTATCGCTTTTTGTCATGGGGAGGTGACAGGAGCTGTAACAAGCAATGGAGTCTCTTTCCCTGGCTGCCCAAATCTCTAATAATACAATTTTTGGTAATGTTGTCATTGTTTAAAATGGCCTTTTCAATAATGAGAACTGGCAGATTCCCTTCTCATGAAGATTGATCAAGGCACTGGGGGATAGTCAACATGGTGCCCTCCGGATTTAATAGACTACAAATCCCATCACCCCTGACCATTGGCCAAACTGGCGGGGGATGATGGGAGCTGTACCCTCCATATAATCTAGTGGGCACATATTGGTTACTTTAATGGAAGCCAAAGCTCCTGATTAGCGACAGCGAAGCAGAAGCCCAATGTCCCTACTTATGATAGTCAGGGTACTGAAAATTCATTTGGCCCAGAGCTACCCTATCTAACAAGCTTCTGCCTCCCATCCTCATCTACAGTATGGTGGTACCCAATACAGCCTGGTGGTGTTCAATACGGTGGACTGCGCCCCTGAGTCGTATGTGCAGTGCCATGCACCAACTAGCAGCGCTTTCGAGTTTGTCACATGGCTTGATAGCATTCAGTGAGTCTGGGACAGTACATTATGTTCTTTTATTGGCTGCGTTGTGCTATACTGGGGTTGCATTTTCGTGTCTAAGGGCTTAGAACTGAAGAGGAATCTGATGCCTTGTTGTGACTTTTTGCCATCAGGAAATAGGTCTCGGCAAAACAGCACAGCAAATGTTATGCAGGAATAATGTTCAGGTGCCCTTAGTTTGGGTCCATGGCCTGCCTCACAATTGTCTTTCTCTGTGTAGCTTGTTGAGGCCTAGGTTCATCTATGAAGAGAATGGCCTGGTTGGGAGAGGGATGGGTCATCCATTTCTGGATGATAGAATGGAAGGAAAAGCTTCTGGGTTTTCTAGGATTGGTAGCCAAGGTCTTCAAAGATTCCTGAGAAACATGTGAAGTACAGTATATGAATCTTGAAGACTCCATGGCTTCACAAATATTTTATTAGCTCTTTCAACTTAATCAAGTTTAAAGGATTTGGGTGGTAGACCTGGGAAAGAATCTCTGCACAAAACCTTAGGAGATCCACTGCCAACTGGAGTAGACCAGCCTTCTCCAAGCTGGTGCCCACCAGATGTTTTGAGCTACAACTCCTCTCAGCCCTAGCAAGCGAGACAAAAGGTTGGGGATATTGGGAGTTGTCCTTCAAAACATTTGGAAGTGATCAAGGTCAGGTTGAGGAAGACTGGAATGGCCAATACTGGATTAGCTGGACCAAAAGCTTGATGGTATTCAGCATTTTTGTGTATGCCTCGGCTCTGGGGTTTGAGAAGGAGACCTTTGGTTCCCTGCACTGTTCCTCTTTATCATTTTGGTTCCCCTAA